GACAAAAAACATCTTTGAAATTCAGACAAGAATTAAGAGTATAGAGAACGGTACAACGAATCGTCTTCTATCTCTAATAATTTAATGAAACGTCAAAGCTTCCGCGCTTCGCGGAGGGGAGGGGGGGACTGAAATAAGACAAGGATTAAGAGTATAGAGAACGGTACAACGAATCGTCTTCTATCTCTAATAATTTAATGAAACGTCAAAGCTTCCGCGCTTCGCGGAGGGGGGGGGACTGAATTAAGACAAGGATTAAGAGTCGAGAACGATAAAACGAATCGTTTTCTTTCTCCAATGATTTAATGAAACGTAAAAGCTTCCGCGCTTCGCGCGAGAGGGGGGGGGGCTGAATTAAGACAAGGATTAAGAGTCGACAACGGTAAAACGAATCGTTTTCTTTCGTCAATGATTTAATGAAACGTAAAAGTTTCCGCGCTTCGCGCGGGAAGGGAAAATTGCATTCAAACGAGGATAATTTTCGAGAACGCTATAACGAATCGTCTTCTTTCAATAATAGTTTAATGAAACGTCAAAGCTTCCGCGCTGCGCGGAGGGGGGGGGGGCTGAATTAAGAGAAGGATTAAGAGTCGAGAACGGTACAACGAATTGTCTTCTTTCTCTAATACTTTAATGAAACGTCATATATAGCTTCCGCGCTTTGCAGAGGAGGGAGGGGGAAACTCGCCCCTCCCTACATCCCCCTGCATTACGTCACTGCTGGTCACCATTACGTACCAATATTTGGCTAGCATAATTTCAAGTTTGGCCCCCCCCCCCTAAGAAATCCTGGATCCGCGTCTGCAATACGGTCATCTTACAGGTATTACAAAGTTTTGGTAAATTTTGAAAATTGGCTGGATAGTGATTCTTTACAATTTTGATATATTTGGATGCCCCTGAGGATGTATTATAAGCACTAAAATTTTAGCCCCTAAAACTCTTCTGCTTTCGAGAAAAATTGAGTATACAAATTTACCCGTGCTCCCGGTAAATTTTGATAAATTTGAAATAGCGCCTACGGCCAGACGATGGTAGCTGCGACCATAAAAATCTCAGAATATGCAGATCTGATATATATATTCCAAACGGTAATAGCAAATTGGTCGATTTTAGTCAAATAACATTGTTTTATAGCTAAATTAATATCTTGATCTTGAGAGGGTGCTATACAACATAAAGAGTTTATTATTTACAATTTCATCACTTTAGACTCGATTTCAACCGCGACAACGATCACTGAATATTGTAGGATTGCATATGCTTCCAATATGATTTGAACCGAATTCATTACCCATACCAAAACTTTGTATTACCTTTAAGGTTCTGAAATGCTAAAACCCGAGAGTTCTCATCCTGCTTAAACAATATTTTTTTTACTCGAAAAATATATTTCACAAAGGTGGACCCATGAGTGCCAAAATTAAAGCCATCGTAGGAATCCGATGGACGTATTCTGCTTCAAATTCAGTCAAACCCGATCCCCTGTCTAAAATCACGTTTAACAAAAAAAATAACATCACTTCTAAAACTTACTTCCTTTTGTCAACCAGATTTTGAACAAAACCACTATAGGATTTAAATTTTAGTAGAATTCAAGCAAAGTATGATTGTAAGAAAATGTTATCCCCTAAGTGCTAAAAAAAGGTTTAAAGCTAGAAAAATCAGCTATGGAAGTTGTATTTTATGTCAGATTTGTCATAAATCTTATGTCATTATAATAGCACGTACCTGTTCGTTTTATGTCCCATCGCTTCACTTTCTCTTTCCTTCGGTTATTGAGAATATCCCGGCTTTGTTCAAGAACATCTCCCAAAGTCGAAATGATGCCCCCAGATGCTATGTTCGTCCAAACCAAGTATTTTGGTGAAAATAACTTTCTGGTAATACGTCGAATCATGACTCTGTAATTATGAAAGATATGCCAACGTATACAGGTTGTATTCCGGACGTATACAGGTTTGCTAAACTAGTAAACTTAGTGCTATAATACCATTAAAGCCCTATAGTGAGTGATCGACCAATTTTTCCGGCAGCGCACAAGCAGGGCTGTTATACCTATAAGCATATAGCTTCATCTATGGGCATGAAGATTTTTTCATTGTGATTTTAAATGAGCTTCCAATCCAAGCTTCCCAGTGTATGTGTGCACCTAGAGGACGGGCAAATAGAGCCGGGGGCGCCTCCCAAATCCTCGGTCGGTGGTGAGGTGGTGCAGAAGCTCAAAATCGGTGACAAGCAAGTAAATTAACAGAAAAATTGATGACTTTTTATCCTGTTTAGAAGCTCCTGAGGGGGGGGGGGGGGGGGCTACTGGGGGTCCTTTGCTTGTTTGCACACTTTCCTAATTCGTTGGGGCATGCCCCCACCGCTCCCATTGAAATTATTATTATTTTACTTTTTTCTTTTTGTGCTTGTTTATTGACATTAGATTTTGTGATATCAATGTCACTTTAAATTATAAATATGGGGTGTCTCAAGATAGAGGAAACGAGATTTCGATTGGTAACATTTAAAACAGTACACAGCCATTCTCAATAAAATTTGTACATGTAAAATAGAATTAGTATCCCCTAATCGTCCCGTGAATTACAATAAAACTTACGTGAAAGCTTTAAAGTTATGATATTTTTTGTAAAACGTAGCATTTTCCAAATGTTACAAGGAAAGCGCTTTGAATGGCAGCAGCGCACATGCAAGCCCATACCCGACGCCTGAACATTTTGTAGCAAGGTCTCAAAATAATTGAAACAATTTATAAAATAATGAGTATAGAAGAAATAAGTAACTCATGCTTTACTTCAAAACCTACTTGGAATAATCTCCTTTGCTTCTTGTTTTTAAAAGATGTTTCAATACATGTTCATGATATTTTATAAATTATTTATCTATATAAAATTGTCAGTGGTGACTTTACCAAGAAATGATGAGTTACAGTGTCTTCAATGAAAAAAAAATTGGCGCGAAAGGTGCACTTTTGCTTTTCAACGCGCTCTCTTTAATTGTAACATTTGAAAAACTGTACATTTTAAAAGAATTAACATATTAACTTGATAGTGTTAGCATTACATCCTAGTGAAGTTCACGCAGACTTTAGGGAATTCTACTAACAACATTACTTATACTGGTAAATTTCAATGAGGACAATGAGCTTTTCAAAATATCACCCATCAAAATTTCGTTGCATTTTGTTTAGACACCCCGTATCATTCTGCCCGGTCATTCTGCCGCTGAAGTACCATTATCTGGATAATATAACACATTTTCTTCCTAATGAATAGAAATTAAGGAAATATTAGACTCTATACTAATACTAATCGAACATCTGTTCTGCTGTGAACAGAAAAGTAGGTACATGGAACAGTATTAATACAATCTGTCGTTTGGAGTACAGTATTTGTCATCATAATGACAATTTGTCAATAGTGTGAGTTTCGTGGTTTTAGTTATCTTTCATATTATTCATTGCATCCGATCCATATAAAAAATTATTGTTTTCATTATGAAATTCTTTAATTCCCCTCATTTCTCTCTGTTCATTTGTATTTATTATAATTGTTATTTTATATCATGTTATACATTTCTTTTTAAACCTATTCTGTTGGCTCTTCTTTGAATCTCTTTTCCTTTAAAATCTGAATGGATGATGTATTTGTTTGATTTACGACAGATCTTTTTGATGATCATAAGCGGCTTTCATATATATCTGTAAATTGTTAGCATATCAATCACTGTAGAGGCAAATGCATTGTCAAATAAAATTCAAATTATCCCTTTGGTGATTACAGAGACAGGAAATAATTATGATTATGAATATTATTGTTCGCTCAGTTTCACGCAGCGACTGCGAAACTTGCTATAGAGAAAAATGTATTTCATTCAAATACTGCAGCAGCTCTACCTATCACATTAAAGGTCTGTGGCGTAGAGGGGAGCATGGTATCGGTTTATAGCCATTTGGTCTACAACTAGGTCGTCCGCTACTCAACTGGTCCATTCCCATATGGTCTACACCCAGTCTCTCTACTACCCACTTGGTCTAAAAGACCCTTCTGGATGGTAGAACATTGGAGTTAGACGAACTGGGAATTAGACCGACTGTAAATTAGACCAAATGGGTGATAGAACAAATGGGTAGTAGACTTAATGGAGTTTAGACCTAATGGACATTAAACCTAATGAATTTAGCCCAAATGGTCATTAGACCAAATGATAAGTATGACAAATGATTATGAGACCATGTGGAGAGTTGTATAGTAGTAGACTAATAGGGTAGTAGACGAACTGGTTGTTGACCGAACGACAATTCACCATGGTATCATGGGGAAACCGTAGTTATACTGGGTGGTAGACTGAAATAATTGTCTTGTACGGGAAATTCTTGATGACATTTTTCATCTGTGTAGAGGCGGTCCGTGGAGACAGGCGTAGTCTCAGTGGAAGCTTTCGATGGGTAGATCAAATGAAAAATAACAACTAAGGCTAAGCTACAGTTAAAGAAGATGGTTGTGTGGGCGAGGGTCCTACCCAGGGGTGGATCCGGGGGCCCAGACCCCCTCCCTGGCCAAAAAAAAAATAGATTTTTAAAAAAGATGGTAACGTTAATATTACCTTTAACAATATTATTAAAATAGAACTTTATACCCCACTCCCTCCCCCGCCGCTTATTCGGTAGGGCGGCTAAATCGCCGCTAAATATTTTCTCACGAAAAGAGCCCCCTCTTGGGCCCCTCACTCGCCACCGGCTGGATCCGCCCTACCTATACTCCTATCGTCGTGATTTTATCTTCCTTCCCCTTATTTTTCACCCCGTCGCTCTAACCTCTCTCTCTCTCTCTCATTTTCTCCGTTTTCTTAAGATTTTGATAGTGAAAATGATTCTAACCTCTCACAACGCTCAATCGAATAAGCTTTCTATCATGTCTACAGGTCCACTCTATATATATCTGTGTGTTTTTTACACTTCTTCAATACAAAAAAAATCTATCAAAATTGTAATATAAAATTTTACATTATCCTTTTATTTGGCATTTCCATCAGCCTTAAAATAAATTGCTCCTTGATTTCATAAAGTCTGCTTGAATCGCAAAATGCAGGTTGTAGTATGTCGTAATAAAATCCGCCCTTTTTAATCATGAATAAACAACCGAACCGTATATACATGTATAAGGCATTTTTGAAACATCAAAATATTACAAGTAATTTAATTATTACAACAGTGACGCAGCATGGGTCCAAATAGATCGTCAACATGTGGTGTGGGCAGGGGCGGATCAAGGGGCGTAGGGGCGCACGACCCCTTTTTTTCCTTACGAAAAAAGAAGCTAAAAAATAATCACATAAATGTTCAGCTTACGCTTTCAGAAATGCCTCAAAATGTACTATAGAGCTTAAGGTTTAAAACTTTTAAAAATATTTAAAATCAATCTGATTGATCAAACATTAATGGAAATCTCTTCACAAGTATCATTCTGAACATATTCTGCGAAGAAAAATAAGATTAATTGACAATTTTTACGAAATAAAGTAGGGTCTTTTTTTTTTTAATGTCCTATATTATTTTAATTCAATTAAATTCAAAGTAACATTCTTTTTATTCCTTTTCTTTTTTTCCATATAAACAAAAGTTATAATTTAGACATACATAATTTAACATGGCAACAGTTGAAATACAGGGAAGACGTCGTGCTTCCTATTAGAGCCTATATTTGTATTGTATACGCCTTATAACAATACGATATTAATATGTACTATATAAATTACATAAATATATTTTATATATATATTTCACTGTGTGCTTGCCCAACAAAGCAACATACACCATATTGTAAACATCTATGGGACTCAGTAAGGACTCATTAAGCCAAACTCTGTGCTGATCCCCTTACAAAACAGTGAAATTAGACTATCATGGAATTAGAGGTCCACTACTTCAATGGATGAGACATTTCCTCACAGCAAGGACACAGAAGGTAGTCTGCAAAGGCACTTCATCAAAACCTAAGAAAGTCTTGTCAGGCGTACCGCAAGAAACGGTACTCGGCCCACTGATGTTCTTTCTGTTCATCAATGACTTGCCAGATAATCTTCGCAGCACTGCCAGACTTTTCGCCGACGACTGTATCATCTATACAAACGGCAAGTTCAGAGAAGAATTGGATACCCTCCAAGAGGATCCCCACCAACTCGAAGCTTGGCAGAGCAAATGGGCCATGTCTTCCAACCCAGCCAAATTTACGGTCATGAAGATCTCCAACAATCGGGACCCACCGAATAGGAATTACACCTTCTGTGGTCAACCACTTCAAGAAGTGTCTTCTTATCCCTACCTCGGTGTGGAAATCGACAACAAGCTGAGATGGGACACTCACTTCACGAAGCTCACCTCCAAAGCCAACAAGGTGCTTGGCTTCCTAAGAAAAAACCTCTGGTTTTGTACCAAGGCCACCAAAGAGTCTGCATACAAAACTCTAGTCAGACCCATCCTGGAGTACGCCAGTAGTTCATGGGACCCGTACCGCAAAGGGGACATCATTCTCATCAATTCGATACAACGGAAGACCGCTAGATTCTGCATGAATGATTACAAGCAACTGAGCAGTGTTTCCCAAATGATCAAGGAGTTAGAGTGGGATTCACTGGAGAATCGAAGGAGGATTGCTAGACTTCAACTCCTGTTCAAGATCATAAACGGAAAAGTGGGAATCAAGGCTGACACATACATTCAAGCCAACATCAGAGGGGGGAAGAACAACTAGAGGGAACAGCAAAAGAATCCAGAGGGTATTGGTTAAGAAGTACGTGCACAAGTACTCATTCTTCAACAGAGCAGCAGCAGAAAGGAACCTACTCAAGGAGGAAACAGTTATGTCTACCTCCAGTGCAGTCTTCAAGCAGAAACTTCAAATGTGAAACACCTCTCCTTCCATAGCACAACCACGACCATACAAATCAAAACTTTGGTGAAGTACAGTTAAACCTGAATCTACCGACGCAACCGAAACAGAAACAGAAACAGAAATACATTGGGTCATAAACAATGTATTTCATTGTTTTGGTACCATGATAATCAAGGTTACCATGGTGAATGGTAATTTGAACAAAAAAAACATGGTTACCATGGTACCTTTTCTAGAATCACAGCATGCTGCCAATTTCGATGACACAATCATTGTCAAGAATATCGAGGTTAGGATAAAAATATAACATTTCTTTTATACAGGTGGAGGCATACAAGAAATCTGTATTTATTAGGGTATCCCACTATAAAAAAAAATTAAAAAAAACACTTAAGTTCTTCATCGTTTAAACAAAAAAAATAAAGAAAAAGGATTAAATACTCAGTTTTATATCATGATGCTGTGCGACATTGTTTTGTTTTTTTAATTCTTGAGTTCGCCGAAAGGTATACTAGCTAGACATTATTTTATTTAATTATTATTTCACTTTAGGCGAATACTCCTCATCTGATCCTATTTCGTCAGATTGACGACGTAAGTATCTGCATGCTTTTAATTGTTTAAATTCCTCTTCCAGGTTGGCCACAGTGTGGCTATGTTTCGTTTCACAAAAATCGCTCAATCTATACGATCTAGATGCGTCTTTGTGGACGAGGATCGGGTTGATATTCTGGCTTGTGAAGCTGCTTGATGATGGTGATGTATATAAGTTGAAGGGCCTCTGCCATTTAGGGATTTCCGTAGCACGTTTGGCGTTGCTGGCACGGGTTAGAAGAGGGCTACCATATGGAGAGTTAGGTGTGCTTCTGGTGCTTGGTTGATGAATCTCTCGCCTCTCCTGCTGAGGACTTGAATGGGCAGATTTACTTTGGTGGATTGGTTGACGAAAGGACTTGTCTTTCTCCTGTTGAGGTCGTGAGAGGGGCGATAAGCCACGCGGTCGGTTGTTCGATACCGGTGGTTCTAGACCCAAATAGGTCTTCCGTCTCCTGGTGTTGTCGTCCTTCCGCGACAGTCTTCCCGAGTCACCGTCGGTAGTTGGTGGACTGTCGCCTCTCTTCCTCCCTCTTGCTTTTCGACGTACACTCGGCGATTTCTTACATATCATATAAGAATCAGAACGAACCGACATACTATCATCGTAGGTCTCACCATCTGAGTTATCACTTTTTGTCTTCATACCACGGTGCCATTTTTTCGGTCGCAACGTGACGAGTGTACCAACATTACTCAGTGATGTCCAGCTCGTTGTCATATCATCATCAGAAGTACTATTACCGCTTGTGGCACTATCATCATCCCAACAGCTCGCTCCAGGTTTTCCATGCCTCCCATCGCGGCCGACATGGTTGATATCTGAGTTTTTCAGAAGCTGAATAACTGGAAGTGTGAGTTTATTTGCGGCGGAAGCAGTGTCCTCGTCCCTTTGATTCAGGTCGTTGAGACTTTTCTGGAACTCTTTAGAGCACGGTGCTAATGTATTGATCCCACTAAAGGCCACTCGAGCACGTGGTGGCAAGCTCGATGACCGCGATGAATTGTCTTCGGTGTCGAAGGCATCATCTGACATCAGAAGACGCTGTCGGATGCCACATGTCATCGGCGACGGACTTAGAGGTCGCATCATCAAATTCTTTCCAATGGCGGCGGGCTTAGAAATATGTCCACTCTCCGGGCCTGTTTAACCGCTTTCTGCACCCGCTTGTTGTCTGACAGTCAATTACAGCTCCCTTTTGTACTCATATTGCAGAAACCATGGAAGCAAGTGGGAATATGTTTTCTGAAGTAAGGAAAAAAGGAAAGGAAAATAGATATAAATATATATTTCTTCCTTCAAAATCTGTACATTTTTGCTAGCTTATCGAGTTGTCAATCACATGATATGACATGATTATGTCATACAGAAAATGTAATTGTTATTTCTTCCAGACATGATAGAAATGGGACAGATGACATCATAATACCATAACTTAATCTGGGACACGAGGATAACCAACTTTTCACTTTCACTTTTTAAAAAACATTTCCACTTCAATAATTCATAGGGGATATAAATAATATTGATAGTACTTCCACAATTTACGAATGTCTTCAAGACTTCACTAATGAACCTCATAGATTATGTCATATCTTATGTCCACTTTGCCTTGTGCTCATCGAAAAGTTGTCATGCCTGCTGTATATAATATTGCTATGATATAGATTTGCCAGGAAATTCATGTAAAGAATAAATTCAAATTTTCACTTGCTTCTCTATTTGTGTAAAGTGATTTTGATGTTGTATTTGGTTGATCCAAGATGTTCGCAAGCAACAGTATGTTTTTTTAAGAAAATATTATTTCGCTGACAAGGAATTATAACCTGTTTTAGAATATCGGCAACAAAATTAAGGTATAACTTCAAACAAAGATGGCGGAATCTGTGCATGCTTTGAAAAGGTGTGAGAATCTTTCGTACACGAAATAATTTATGTCATTGTATTGTGAAATCAATTCACATTACATGTAGCCGACAACCAACTTTACGACACTCAAAAATAGCAGTTGAAATATCATATCAATTTCTGTTTGTTTGTTTGTTTGATTGATTGTTTTTGATTGCCTTTTTTCTCGAAATACACAGATATACTCATTATAAACACAATTACGTTTTTCTACCTTGTCAATGATTTAAAGGCGTATATGAGGTTAGGTGAAAAAAATTATGAATGTCTCCTTCTTACTACGTCATTACCTTTTCTAATAAACAGTAAGGGGTCTATAACATTTCTATAATATTACAAATGATGAATTTCTAAAACCACCCGGTATATAATTCCAATTATAATTGCAGGATGTTTCCCTGGTCAATGACCCTTTTTAATTCTACTTATCGTACAATTTTTTTTCCTTCTAACTTTACCTTTATATTATGTCTATTTTAACAACAACAAAAAGTCAAATCAATACGACTTTACCTATCCTATACACAAGGCGATATTACAAACTCGGCATTTTTCTAAATGCGTTGAAGTAAAGCAACTTACATGTACATCATGACTTGTATCGCTTCTCCGTTATATTTTTGAAGATTTGAGGGAATACCACGATTGTAATGAAGTCGATGAAAACTGAAATCCTCTTATTTGTTCGAGAGTAGCCGGTCCAACACTAAACAAAATTTTCCTGAAGATCTGTACTTAGCTGAGAGTTACACAGATCTCAAGTGACTAATGCAAAGTGAACGTGCAAATGCGGTGCCTCCCACAAAGGTTTTACTAAATCGATAACAGCATGTTCTAAGACAAGTTAGACGATCTATACATCCTCTTCCGAACAAAGCGACTTCCAAGCAAAAAACGAGACTGAGTAGTCTCACTATTCTATTTCTGCGTCCGTCGGAAAGACTCTTTATTGGGAAATCGGCGTTCAATAGACAGCTCAAGACTGCGCCACTATAATATTGGTAGGAGGCTAACATCAAGAAATCGAATATACAGAAAAACCTGTATATAAAGACCATCCAAGGGAGACAAGAAAAGTGGTCTTTATAGGCAGGTGGTCTTTATGGGTTCTCATTCATGTTTCTTCATTTCCCCGGAAAGAGAATTTATGATTATGCGCTATATAAAAATGACTTTATTTATTATGTACAGGTTCCTTCAGTACATGTTTCAATGAGAAACCATTTTCGAGGGAAACAAAAAATGTGGTCTTTGTAGACAGGTGTTCTTTCTATATAGGTGGTCACTAAAGCAGGTTTGACTGTATCTCAAATACTTGAATTGTGAGTTCAGTATAATATGCATGTCCAGTGTAAGTTCAGTTTTCTATTAACATGGTCAATCAAGAGCAAAACCACAATTGGAAACTTGGACTGGAAGCAAGTATTAATTGTTTTCAATGAAATTCCAGAGATTTTTGTTTTGGTTATTATTACTGATCATCAAACATGTCAAACCTGTCATCCAAATGTTGCCGTCTGTGCACGAAAAGTGTTCAGAATGGGCTTGATTTCCCCGACTTGTATCCATTATGAATGCTTAAGAAACAATTTTTTTATTTCAGTTAAATATCACTTACTTTTAGAGGAAAGGGTATTTGGCAGACGATTTGTAGAACCAATAACCATCAAAGGTGTAAAGAAATAAACTTGGCACTTTTACTTCTAGCTACTGCATCCTCAATAAATCTTTAAGATCGGTATCTTCATTTCGTCACCTGGTAGCACCAAGTATCAATCGTAGCATTGGAAGTGATGCTGGCTCTTAATATTCCGGGGAAATGAAGAGACATGAATGAGAACCTTAACTAACGGCACCTGTATAAGAATGTTATTGGCTACTGTTTCGTTTTTTTTTTTTTTTTTTGGTCATTGCCCATGTCTGCAAACACAGTGTGTACATTCTAACTTAGCATGTTTACTGAAACAACGATAAAGAACCATTCACTGACGCAATATTTGTGTTCAGTCTAGTCTTGTTTCAGTGATAAGATGAAAATTGCATCATTTTTTTTTATTTTTCTCTCCTAGTTTAAACTTAATTGGTTGGCCCATCTCGCTTTAATTTATGGGTATCATGAATACAAAGCGATTCTGAAAAGCTAGGCTACCTGAACTTTATTAAGAATTACTTTTTTTATTAATACTAAAGGAATAAACGCATATTTTGCATCATGAAAGAATTTTTTTAATAATATATATGAGACACCTAAACGGACATAATGGAATGCTTATTAAGATTTCCCAGTGTCTGAAAATCAACCTATGCCGATGCGCTGTAGACTAATGGTCTATTTACATAGAGCCCTGAACGTATTATTTAATGAGTACACAAACAATCTGTCTTTTCACAGAAAAGCATTGACCATTATACTTCAATTAACCAAATTCGATTGTCGATGACGTATACAGGCTAGCTACCATTAGAAACAACTTCTAAGAATTAACGTCTTGCTGGACATAATTATGTTATCGTCTTCTCTAAAGCTTTCCAAATGCTTTTTTTATATATCAAACATGGCAACGATTGAGAGCGAGATGTGAAGTTTTATGAAAAATCCATCGTTATTGTTTGCCGCATAAAATCATGACTGTGATATTTTGAAATATCATAAGTCAGCGCGTTACATATAATTTTCTTACATCTTTTCAAAACACATGTACACAATCGCAACCATTTTCGACGAATCCATTCAAGGACAATGTCAATACCCTATTGTCTATCTATAATAGAAACCATGTTTGGTTTAGCCTCGTAACGTGTCATTGTTATGTTCTCACAATTCAACAGGTGGTGTTGAGAAGTGATGTGGTCTCGAGGATAAGTCGCCGGACTGTGAACCACAAGGGCAATTTTAATAATATATTGTCTAACCAATAGGCCATTTTCGTAATGTTACCAAATGTAATACATAAGTCTTTGTGAAGTGCATCAATACAAATTATTTCATTCACCCGATAAGAATAATAGTATTTCAATAGTCAGAATGCAAAATGCATATATCAAGTGTTGTTAGGTTCGGATTTTGTCTATTGAAATACTATTATTCTTAGCAGGTTAATGAAATAGCTTGTATCGAGGCACTTCACAAAAACGTATATATATGCATTAAATTTGGTTATAAATTATTACAAAAATGGCCTATAGAAACCATATTCGATTAGCAGGTTCAGCACATGATTAAACAAACTATCCCTTCACGGAAAAGTGAGAACTACTTTTCTTTTAATCACCCATAGCCACTTGAAGATGACGTAGGCACTGGTAGGAGTGACAGGTGGCAAGGAGAAGCAAAACAAATATCTTCTAAGAAATGAATGGTTTACCAAGTCACGATGTGATTCTGCTTTCTTATTAATGGCGTCCGAAAGTAAATACCAAGATTCACAATTTGTTACCATTGTACGTAGTATTTACTCCTCAGATTTATATTCGGACTTTACAGGAACAAGTCACTTTTAAAGAATGCGAGTAAGGAATTTCGTGGGTATGTGTATGTGTGTGTCCTCGTTTGTCTATGGGTAGTATTATGAGTCTTGTACTTTTTAACTTAACTTCGATTTCAATTTGTAATGTATTTACTTTGTGTACCTATTTTCTTTGATATTGTTCAAAGGGATAACCTGTTATCCCTCTACTTCATTTGATTATATCGTTTTGTACACTTTTATCTCATATTTTGCGGAAATAAATTTAAAAATTCCAAATAAATTCAAAAAGTAAACAAAATAACATTTTACGTTCTTCTCTTTTCTTGATAAGTATAACTTTACATTCCCTTATGTGAAACAGAACATATTTTTTCTTTATTGATCTTTATTTCATTCATCATAAAAACATCATAAGAAACATATAAAATACAAAACATAGCATACAAGTTAAAGAGAAAAGTTTACAATAGAATACAACAACAACAAAAATTATCAAATGAAATGTGGAGACAGCTAGGAAAGCCAAAGGTTTTATTGGTGCTACCACCGAAACTGTAATACAGTATAATATTGTTGTATAGAAAGGTGATTAAAACTAATCAACGGTAAAAGATTATGTGAACAAGGTATAGGAAGCACTGCACAGCATTTCTATATTGTTTGTTTATAATAATAATTGTACCTTTAAAGAATTTCTAAATGTCTGACCATCAGACCATGCATGTCCTTGTCGAAGCCTGCCTCGTTCTCTCACTTAAATATAGTTTTCAAATAATTTCCTTTCTTTCTGGGAGACTTTTTTGCCTCCCCTTTTTTTTACCTTATTGACCCCTACCAACCCACTCTATCTCCCTTCATCTCTCTCTCTCTCTCTCTCCCTCTCTCTCTCTCTCTCTCTCTCTCTCTTTCTTCTCCTGCTTCATTATTGTTTAGCTCGATAATGGCAACCCCCCTCTCTTTCTCTTTTCTAGATTTCCTCTTCCCCTCCTTCCGTCTCTCCGTCTGACATGTCCCTCTGTGTCCCCCTCCCCTCCCTCTCCCTCTCTCTCTCTCTGTTTCTCTTCTCTCGCCTCATTATTCTCTGATCAAGGCCATATCTGGTACTTTTCGTAAACACTTCTTCCTCTATTTTTCAATCACCATTTCCAAGCTTAGATTTATGAAAATAGGCGGAAATCAAATCTCAATTTACATTCAGAGATTTGAAAAAGAAAATTTAATGAAACCCATCGTGTACAGCTGTTATCCTTTAGACTTTAAAAAGAAAACTAAGAAACTAATCATTTGAAAAGGTCCATAGATCTTTTAATATTCTACTTCACAGGAAAGTCGTTCTAACATTACAAGAAATATGACTATTTGAAAAATAAGAAATTATATTTTATATATAATTATGCATATATATATATATATATATATATTGTTTTACCACGTCGTACATTCGATTCTTAAAATGTTGCCTCCCCATTCAACAAAGTAAGTGACAAAGCACCAATTCATTCCTTATACAGTGTGTCCCGAAAAAAACTATACACTTTTGAAATGGCTGCCGAATAAAAAATATATGATTCTAGGGGGAAAAGTTGTATATGTATGGAAAGCCCATAAACTCAACTTTCATATGACACAAACAAGTTTGAAAATAATTCATGCTTGGGTGAGCACTGCTCACTTTTGTAAAGGGTATGAAAATTAGGTTGCGCAGGAATTAGCCTTCCAATGTTATTGTGTGAGAGGTAAATCCTTTGGAGCTTACAACATTGAGGGTGATATGATAAATTCATGATTTGCTGAGTGAATTCCATGGTTTATTAAACCAAACTTTAATGCACGGAACAGGAATTTCATTTTTCTATTGTAGCATTGTAACTTTCCCTGGTAGACTCAGTGGTGTGTTCATGAGAGTCAGGATGGGGTGATGGTACATGTTGTAATTTACATGTTACAAACTGTTATTTTTTACATTTGTTACTTTGAATAAAAACCTTCACCCCACATTTCAGTTACCATTTACCTGAAGAATAAGTAGCCGACATCTTGGACATTCCTTTTTTCAACAAACCGTATTTGAATATTCGATTTACTTTATCCCTACCTGGGTATTGAATAAATCAATGAGATGTTCAACTAATCTTGCAATAATTGAAATGTGGGGTGAAGGTTTTTATTCAAAGTCACAGATGTAAGAGAATAACAGTTTGTAACATGGAAATTACAACATGTACCATCACCCCATCCTGACTCCCATGAACACACCACTGAGTCTAACAGGGAAGTTACAGTGCTACAAAAAAAATGCAATTCCTGTTCACTCATGCATAAAATGTTAATCCCATAAACCAAACATTTCACTCAGCAAACCCAAACTCATCACAATTGATCATAAATTGGTCATATCATCCTCAATTCCGTAAGCTCCAAAGGATTTACCTCTCACACATTGGAAGGCTAATTCCTGCGCAACCTAATTTTCATACCCTTTACAAAAGTGAGCAGTGCTCACCCGAGCATGAATTATTTTCGCAACTTTTAGTGTCATATGAAAGTTGAGTATATGAGCTTTCCATACATATATAACTTTTCCCCTAGAATCATATATTTGTTATTCGGCAGCCATTTCAAAAGTGTATAGTTTTTTTCGGGACACACTGTACAGGACATTACATTACAACAAGCATAGCAAGATGACTGATGTTCGAGGAACTATTATCTACAAGTTGATAATATAAAGAGACAAGATTTAGTTATCAGGGGAAAGCATACTTAGTACGATAATAGTATTGTCTTTATCACATCATCGAATAGTCTTTGTATACATGTGAACTAGTTACTATTTAGAACATTTATTGCACAACACTATCTACAGAAATTAATCAAATCCTCTATTCTAGTACAATTATCTTTTTCCGTTTTTCAATTTGTTTGTAGAATTAATTTTTCTAATCATCCGGCAAACATATTTTTGGGAGTCTGAATGAAAGGATAAATTGAAAGAGATGAGGGACATTATAACATATTACTAGCATATTGTTGTTTGATGGGAATTGCAAACACTTCATAAAGATGTCATAAAAAGCATTAGTAATCGTGCTATTCAGTTTTCTTCGCTTTACAATGTCGATATTTCCACCATATAGTACATATTAGTCTCACCGCTATTCTTAAAACGAAGAATAAAATAATGAATACTACAGCTACACATAACGCAAGAAACCCAACAATGTCCACTAGATGATACTGATACCAAGTCAATTCTCCTGCAACAGACTTGAGATGGGTGCCGCCATGTTGGATCACGTGTTCTACCCAGAAAGCTGCTTTTTCAACTGGTCTCATGGTGCGATGCCCGTACATCGAGGAAATCCTTGCAGTATTCTCTTTGTAACTAAGGTTTTTTTTTTTTTTTTTTTTTAAAGAGAGAGATAAATGGATAGTTCGAAACATGGATTATTCATGTGTGCAGGGGTTTTTTGGCCGCTGATCTAGGTTATATAGAGAACATACGAAGACGCCACTAAAACGATGTAAATGTGTCTCTGTCAATGGTTATGCATTGGTCCTTACAGCAGCCCGGTTGACGAAAAAAATTTGACAAGAAATTGTGGATATTGCTTGATCAAACCATCCCAGAGCCTCATAATTCACGAGGGAAATCATGACAATACTGATTTCTTTTGAATATACAGCCTATACTGCTGTTATTCTTTCATTATGGTAAATAAAGAATGAAAATTATTGTGTGGTTATCTTCGTACCAGAAAGAACATTTCGTCAGTGGTCAGTGATTTTTCAACGGAGGCGAAACATAACATTATGGACAATATTCTATATTACACGAAATCACTCCTTATTAAGGACTAATTAGTTGGCAAAATCACTTTTCATTTATTTTCTTCAGAACTTTCGTTTTATAATTTGTGTTACCTTTTATTTCCTAACACTGTTCTCACGGCCTCTTCAATCTTGTCAGCATTCAGGGTGTGGTAGTCGAGCTTGACTCCCATTCCGTGATGGATTATCCTTGATGCGACGTCGTACTGGTCTTCGAGCAAAGGAATGACCACGCACGGCACACCATGGTAAACGACTTCGTAGAAACCGTTATTCCCTCCTTGGAAGATGATCAGCTTTGTCTTGTTGTGCGCTGAAAATGTAAATCGACATAAATGTTATTCTGCTTAATATGTGAATATAATGGATAGGTTTTTATCTCCAATATCCCTCTCTGACAATAAATGTTTATTTATTGTCAGAGAGGGATATTGGAGAAATATATGTCATATAATACAACACGATATATAGTCCTCGATAGCAATGGCGAACGTCATATTTAAACATTCTCGTTTCTATTAACCTGGTCAAAAAGGAAGTCTAAGGAATGATTTCTTGACTGCCTAATGAGAAATTAAACGTTCATACATCATATTCATCGTATAGTTTTTAACTTCTTACCAAGTAAGTCATTCTGTGGCAGCCATGACATTGCTTTAAACTTGGAATGGTCGATGTTTTTAGGAAAGTTAAGGGTAACTTTCCAGACAATTTTCTGAGGTAGTCGAGAAAAGGCCGTCATGAATTCCCGGATGAGCTCCTCCTTCATGTACGTTGCGTACGAACCCATGGTAAAGATGATGACGCCATCTTCACCAGAGCTTTGGACGAACTCTTCCAGGTTCTGAAAAGATGTGAAAAAGTTAAACCATCGAGGCAGAAGACAGTATGGTTACAATCTTTCCAAGATTCAACATTGTATGTTTAATAATTGAGAATAATGCCTATAGTCAAAATGAAAATGAAGACCGGATACTAAAAACATTTGCTTTATTATTTTGAGAAATTGGCTTAAAGAGATTCACATTTTTAATAATGAGAACAGTAACGTTGTTTTAAAAAAAGTGAATAAACTAACGAACGCTCGCTGGAAATTAATTTCCAAGTCTCAAATTGGATATTATCATGAGACCGTGTGTAGTGCTGTCATTTCTTAGGCAAAACAAGCTAAATCAAATGATATTTATTTATAAGTTAATTACTTATTATTCATATCTTAGATCGTCCAATTTCGTTTATTCCGTGGGGAAATGTTTTCCGTCCTTACTAACACATTACCGGGTAACCGTCAGGCTCCCATGATAATACTAATTATTATATGAAAAATAGTCTTGGTTACCCAGGGAAGCTTTATCAGGGTCAGTGCTGTTCTTCCCTGCCAAAAAATCATTATCCCAGCTAATGTTAGGTATACTCATAATCCCTGGGTGGAGAGTGGCAAATTTTGATTAATGTCTTGCCAAAGGACGTCAAGGCAGTGCTGGGATCCCGACTGGGATTCAAACCCTCAACCTTTGGAATGAGAGTGGAGTGAATGGACCTTTATACCACGACACCTCCGCATAAAAACATACCTGTTCCAGCAGCTTGGCTGGTTTTGTTGTGATGCCACCAACAGGAATCACATTTGGCGAGATGGGGAAAGGAAATTCTACTGCGAAATCCATGTTGACGAGAAACAATTCCGCTCGGCTGAATAATTCAGTAGGTGACGAATGTGGAGATATATTCCGCAAAGAGCGGTACTCTTGTGTGCTTTTCATTCTCATAGTGATGAAGGATGGAAAAACCTCTACGCGAAGGAAATTATGAAGACGCTGCCAAAACGTCATCCGCAGCGGGAAACCACTTGAATAGGAAGGTCGTATGGCGACGTTAACAGGAGAACCCAATGCCTTAGCCAGGTGTTCTTCAAGATGAGTTGGAAAGAAGAAGGTAAAGGGCTTCTTCAGTATTTCTGGTAGGAGGTTGGGACAACCAAAACCGGGGTCAATTATGAACATATCTAAATTGGCCTCCATCAGACTGTTGATGAAATCGTCATCCTTGATCATGTCGTCACAGTCGTACAACCAGTATTCCCGCATCGCCTCCTTATTCTTCGCGAATTCTCCGAGGAAATCTCCGGAAACTGCCGCACGTGCGACGAAGTCTATCCTATCCTTAAGTTTGCCCTCTGAAGCTGTGCGGTTCGTGCTTGTAAAATGAAAGAGCTTTGCATATCTCACATCGTTTTTTACAGATGTTACTTCACCGCTGATGATGGCGGTCACGTTGTGGCCACGCCCTACCAACTCCTCGCCAAGAGCAGCAATTGTACTAAAGTGGCTACCAACGCCTGGCCCACCGTAGAAAGCTATGTTTGCAGAGTTCCCGGTGTCGGAAATTATAGCCAACAAGACGAGGACAAGCCAAATGTCTAGCTCCATTTTCATCTTGATTCCTCGGACACCCGTATATATTCAGAGTTCACAGATCCTCAGACTCCCCTAATCACCTAGAAGATTCATAAGAAATGACACAGAACATCCCATGTTAAATCGACGGTATCAAAAATGAAATCATGTATGATTATTGTAAAATAGGACTACTTGATTAGAAATGTGATAAAGCAATGAACGAGATCGCTGTGGATCATTAACAAAAACAAACTCGCAATAGTGTGATAGGACTTATTGAGCTATTTTTTAGCTTGCATTCAAAGTCAGGGTTGTTTTCTCTTTTCTTTCTATTTCGTTTTAAATTTGAATACAAAATTGGATATGAGTAGGAGAGTTGACAATAATTATGGACTGCTGTAAGTCTGTATAACTACATGCAAAATGAGGCCTACAAAATAAAAAGACTTGTCTAATAATTTTGCACTCTAGACCTATATCCAATTAATCGGAGAGGATAAATAAAATCGAGTGTACAACTTAGTTTCACCATGGACCTATTACGGATGGACATTCATCGTTTTCTTAACGAATTCATTGTGATTGTGATCAATGTCGTCTCAATAACATTCCGTACATGTTTCTTCCCTTTGGTCTCATCATGGTCGCCGGCAAAAAGCCGGGACAGAATCAAGATAGTGATTTTACACATGTTAATCTACATGCGCAGAAGAAAATTACTCACCTAAATCATGGAAAATAGATGTGCAGTTCTGGCTTATAATCGGAAATTGTTGTTCCGTGTACTGTACATGTATCTTTTTTGGAAAAACATGTTGATATTACCAGATAGAGGTTATTTTTGGATTTTTTTTGGTTGTGATTTAAAATCCCGTTTCCCCCTATTTCCTCATAATATTACAGAGTTACAACGCACAGGGCTGATACAGATCATGGCCTTCTAATTGTTTTATAAGGTCATAGTTGTGTGCGAAAGTTTGCGAATCAGTAATAATACATTTAATATCACCAAAATCGTCTGCTTTTCAACTTTGCTTTTCAACTTTGCTGCTCCACATTGAGGATGCTTTGATTTAAGACACACTCTTACAGAGCACACCATCCAAACAAAACCCAAGAGAGGGAAACTACTTCTTTGTCAATGACCGAAAATGCTTACGCAGTCGTTATTGTTAAAACAGCTGAATGTTCTCATTAAGATGCACATGTTAATCAGAAGGCGACGACTATGATTGGATCAAAGAAAGAATCCCGTTGAATGTCCATCCGTATTAAGTCCATGGTTTCACTAGGGGTTGTCGTTTTCACTAGAAATGGACCTTAATTTCCCAGTTCATCAAATTTAAAAAGCGAAGCGAGTTATAACCATGCATCTATAGATTTGTAATGTTATGTCTACAATGAAGAATATGGAGCTGCCCTGAAATAGCTACGAAATTAAAGGCCATTATCTCCCGCCCCCCCCCCCACTCAGTGTTATTTTGGGTACGCATATGCGTGTTCCAACCGACCCCCCCCCCCCCCCCTTTTCAGCCAAAGTCCGGTGTGTAAAGTCAATACGGGTCGACCTTTTTCTTTTGTTACGAAAAGGACATTTTGGCAACACGCATTATCTGTGGGAAATAAAATAAGTCTATGAGCATTTTTTGTCTCCCCCTTCTCCACTCTTATTTTGAAAATGAGAACTTGATACTACATGCAGTTAATTATTCTGATTGACTTGTATCAGCTTACACGTCTGTAGCAATGATCTCTCTCTCTCTCCATCTCTGTCTCTCTCACGAATGTTCAAACAACACTTAATTTGAAAACTATTAAGTTTGCTAGCTAATCATGCTATATAATATCCAACATCATACCTACTTACATCGTTTTCAGTATCCTTTTCATTAAACATTGCAGCCATGAGTGTACTCCGTGCGAAGCGTATCTGAGCATCCGTGGGTGGATAATTAGGTACATGTATATTATGGAGGAAAAACACAGTGACTACCCTGTACCCCTGGAAAATGGGTGCATTCGACATTAGGGAGATTCGATCAATACATCAGACAATACTGAACAATCAGCCTAATTGTTGTACGTTTCACTTCAAAAGCTTTACGTGGCGTACCGAGCAAACAACACAAGAATAAAATGGCTGTAGTCTCAGAAGCCCAATCCCGAATAACAAGTTATCACGATGCTTTGTAGAACTCGGGGTTGTCATTAAACATATTGATGGGAAGAGAAGTTTTGGTCTTCAAAACTTGCGACTGCCAACAGGCAATATCAAATGAGGCAACAAAAATCATCAAACGCACAGACAGACTTACGTCTTTGACTTTGTTGACAACTGAATGTCGACAGCCCTTTTTGTATTCGTGTAGGCAGGGGCTACCCCTTCCCCTAAACTCCCTCCGAGCAACGTACTTTAATAGTTTCATATTATTATGATATACTTAATCATATATCACTGGATAGACAGCCGTTCTGTTCATTTTTCAAATGTTTATTTTGGTACACTTTACTTTTTTTACACACTTGTTTTTCCAAGGGTTCGTATGATTCCAAAGGTAAACAATTCCGAAACATAATACATGTATCTCAAACCACTGGGTTATGAACCTTCGGGGGGGGGGGGGGAATGGCTTTATTAGTGATCATATTTTGGGCAGTAACGTGATACAAATTGCTAGGGTTTGACTCATGGTTGAATCCGCTTTTGACAATCTTGTTTGACGTATCAGTGGACAGATAAAGATTTTGTTACCTTTTAATCACAAGACAGCTCTGAAAATAAAAGGTTTGCAGTATAAAATATATCACACTACCTTACCAAATGATTATCTATAATACTTCCATTTATTTTTCTAAAACAAGCTCCGATTGTATGTTCATATCTCACAGGCGCGTTTTCATTAATGGTTGATTTGCATCATGGGAGCTCACTCTTATACTTAAAGAAATTAAATCTGGATCATAAATTTGATTTTTCTTTCTTCTAAAAAAACACCTTCTGTTATTAAAACTATACCCTTATTTTCACTTAAGACTGAAATTTTCCAAGTACGAACGAGAATCAGATCGTGAGTAAATACCACGGTATAAGGCATCACATCAGGTAAAATACACTTCAGATATTTTCACAATTCATATTACTTGAGCTATTGTGATGACTGTGCTGTTTTATTGCTTCTATTGGTACATGAACTATCAAAAATACATAAAGTCTATTTGCTTAATTGCATTGGGAATATATAGACATGATTGTATATATTGATTTGAAAATATCAGGTTCCATGTTTTAACAAATACGATCGCAATTATTTTCGAAAAATCAACTCAAGGGCAATTACAATACATTATTGTATGTCTCATAAAAATCATGTTCGGATTACGTCATACGTCACTGTCATGTTCGCACATTTCAATAGGTGACACACAAGACTACTGTCATTGACTGTCGTGTTGTAATTAAACTGCTCGTCCCATTCCGTAATACGACCAATTTCTTTAGGATTTCTTCTACTTCTGTCCTTTGCCTCTTATAAAAAAAAAAAAAAACCAATATCATCAATCTAATTCAATTCTAACTAATATTCATTACAGTTGTGTCAATATTGTTTCTGAGATTTTAGAAGAACACATGTAAAGCTTCAATCAAAAGAGGGCGCCAGATGGCCCCATCAGTATAAAAAGCGACTCTCTCGTTACTATACCAATCTGACTGTACTATCCTTTGTCGTCTGACATTAAATGCCATCGAACTAAGCTTGAAACATGATGACAGCGGTGAAAGTTTGTAAATCCATGTAGGAAAGTGTTTGTAATACACCTATAACTCTATTATGCGTCTGCATACCGTGTTATGAACTGGAATTCACCTGTTTACTTTGAGAGTCAACTCAACGTATAGTCAGCCCCACTCATGTAAGTTTGTGTAGTGTTACTTGCATGCAAAGCATTGAAATTCGAGATCTCTGTCTGAATTGTTTGCTGTGGTGTACAACATGCCTGACACTGTGTCTCCTGAGGGTACTGAGGGTGATTTGCAAGGGGCCCATTTCGTAAAGCCTTCTGTCCAACCCCCTGGTCATTTCCATGCGGCTGCGGGAAATGTAGGTCTAGTTGAAGGGTGGAAAATCTGGAGACAGCAATGGGACAACTACACTATTCTCACAAACCTCTCCAAACAACCAGATCGGTACCAAACTGCACTACTACTGCACAGTGTGGGACAAGATTGTCTGCGTGTCTACAACGGCATGAAGTTTGCTAATGCCGCTGAAAGTGTGAAATGCTCTGTGATACTGGATAAGTTTGATAAACATTTCCTTGGTGAGAGCAGAGAATTCTTTGAAAGATTCAAGTTCAATCAATGCAGTCAGGAAGATGGTGAATCTATTGAACAGTATGTGACAGCTCTGCGTACAATGAGTAAGACGTGTGGATTCTGTGACTGCATGAATGACAAATTGCTCGTTGATCGTGTTCTACTGGGAGTACGTGATGATCGTATGCGAGAACTACTCATCTCCAAATCTGATCTTGACCTCTCTACTGCCATTGATGTTTGTAAAGCAGTTGAAGCGACGTCTACTCACATGAAGGCGTTGAACATGCTAAAACTGGAAGTGGAAAGCAGAAGTTTGTAAAGCAGAAGCCGAAAGAGCTCAAAAAGTGCAAGTTCTGTAATAAATCACACGAAATGAAGAAGGAATGCTGCCCTGCATGGGGTCAAAGGTGCAATGTGTGCCATAAGCCCAATCACTTCAAGGGATCTGCAGTGTGTACTTCCAAGAGTGTTCACCAACTCGAAGATGATGAGTACTCCTCCACTGAAAGTATCAGTGTTGTACAGATAAATACAGTAAGTCCTGAAGATGGACCAATTTTTTGCAACATGCTACTAAATGGTCGAAGAGTACAGTTCCAGTTGGACTCTGGAGCAACAGTGAGTGTTCTCCCACAGAAGTTTCTGTCTGAAGAAGATGTAGTGAGAAATGAATGCATCCATCTCCGGATGTGGAACCACTCTCCGCTACTACGTGCTGTGGGAAAGTGCAAAGTCGTGACAAGGAATCCAGCTACTGGAAAAAAGTACAGGATTGACTATGTCATAGTTAAGGAGGATCTGACTCCACTGCTAAGCAAAACAGCTTCTGAGAAGATGCAGCTTATCACTGTTCACTACGAATCTATGGAAATAGTCCACAACATATTTCCTGAGAATGTCTGCAACCTAGCTCCTGAGAATCTTCACAAAGAGTATCCTGTGGTCTTCTCATCCTCTGTGACTGGTACTCTGCCGGGGAACGATGTTCATCTGACTGTTATGGATGATGCTACCCCTAGTGTTCGTCCTGCTAGAGTGATACCAGAATCCTTGAGAAGTATTGTGAAGGATGAACTTGATGCACTGCAGACAAGAGACCTGATTGAGGAAGTAAGTTCTCCAACTGACTGGGTAAGCCAGATGGCTGTTGTACAGAAGAAATCTGGTAAAGTGCGTGTGTGCTTAGACCCTAGACCACTCAATCTCGTGCTGAAAAGAGAACATTATCCTCTGCCTGTTCTCGATGATATCCTGCCTCAACTGTCCAATGCAACGGTCTTCTCCATCTGTGATCTAAAAGATGGATATTTGCATTGTGTTCTTGACGACGACTCAAGTCTGCTAACTACCTTTGCAACACCATGGGGAAGGTATAAATGGAAACGTCTACCATTTGGCTTGAAGGTTAGCAGCGAAATCTTCCAAAAGAGACTTCATCTAGCACTGGATGGTCTTCAAGGGGTACGATGTGTGGCAGATGACATCATAATCTGGGGTAACAGTGATGCTGAGCATGATACCCGACTACAGAGTCTTCTACAGAGATGTCAAACTGTTGGCATAGTCTTGAATAAGGAGAAATGCCAATTTCGACTGAAGGAAATCTCGTTCCTAGGCCACATAGTATCCAACTCTGGACTGAAAGCTGATCCATCCAAGATCGATGCAATCCTGAACATGAGTTCTCCAACCTGCAAGGATGACATCCATCGCTTACGTGGCATGGTCAATTATTTGGCCAGGTATCTGCCCAAACTATCTGATGTCATGAAGCCTCTCAATGACTTAACCCACAACAACTCTGCGTGGACTTGGGACTCCAACCATGACAAAGCCTTTAGGTTGCTGAAAGAGATGCTGATACAAGCTCCTGTGTTGGCGTTCTACAACCAAAGCAAGCCACTTCAAATCCAAACTGATGCCAGTGCTACAGGGTTAGGTGCTGTGATGCTACAGGATGGTCAACCAATAGCATATGCCAGTAGGATGCTGAGTGATCCTGAGACCAGATATTCTGTCATTGAGAAGGAGATGCTAGCAATAGTCTTTGCACTGGAAAAGTGGAATCAGTTCACTTTTGGTCGTAAGACAACAGTATATAGTGACCACAAACCACTGGAGTGCATTGTGAAGAAGGCCCTGGACAAAGCTCCCAAACGCCTACAAGGAATGTTACTACGCGCCATGGCGTATGATGTTGAAGTGAAATACCTTAAAGGGAAGGACAACATCTTGGCTGATGCACTAAGCCGTGCTTCTCTTCCGTATGAGAGCGGACAGCATGATCTAGAGGTGGTGAATGCTGTCAAACTCTTGTCTCTCCCTGATGACAAGATAGCTGAGATAAAGAGACAGACTACCCAAGATCCAACTCTCTCCCAGCTCAAAGACACCATACTTGATGGGTGGCCAGACAACAAGACAAAGCTTCCTTTGTCACTGACTCCATACTTCAGTTTCAGAGATGAACTTTCGGTGACTGATGATCTGATTTTCAAGGGAGAACGGCTGGTAATCCCTAAGCAGATGAGGCGACAGATCAAGGAGGAGTTACACATTGGCCACAATGGAGTCGAAGGAACTTTGAGAAGAGCCCGTGAATATGTCTATTGGCCAGGTATGAACAAGGAGATAAAGGAGTGGATCCAGACATGCGAGACCTGTCAAGAAAACTCAGTCTCTCAACCTGCCCAACCTTTGATGTCTCATCCTATCTCTGACAGGCCATGGTCAAGAATTGGAATCGATCTCTTCCATCATGATAACGAGAACTATCTCATTATGGTCTGTTACTACTCCAATTTCTTTGAGATAGAAAAGCTACAGAGGACGACTGCCCCCGCAGTTATCAAGCGACTGAAACGTCACATCGGACGCTATGGAGTGCCAGAGATCATTGTCTCAGACAATGGACCTCCTTTCTCTTCAAGGGACTTTGCTGAGTTTGCCAAAGAGATGGGAATCAAGCATAACACCATCTCACCTCACAACAGCAAGGCAAATGGCAAGGCAGAGTCTGCTGTTAAGACTGCCAAAAGACTGCTTACCAAATGCAAGGACACTGGAGATAACGTTGATCTAGCCTTACTCAACGTTCGTAATACACCAACTCAAGGTACCCAGACCAGTCCTGCGCAAAGGTTCATGGGTAGACGAACACGTACACTCCTACCCACCACAACTCAGTTGTTGATGCCTGATCGTGACTCAGGACCTGATGTCGAGAAACTCAATTCAAACCAGAGACGACAGGAGAAGTATTTCAACAGAAATACAAGGAAGCTCAAGGATCTTCCACTTGGAGCAACTGTACGTGTGAAACCATTCAACCATAGAAAGAAATGGAAGAAAGCGGTGATCCTGAAGAAAATAGACGATCGATCATATGAAGTTCGCTGTGATGGTCAAACACTTCGTAGAAACAGAGAACATCTCAGAGCGACCTCATCCACGTCAGATACACTTGATCCTATTCCCAACATGTTTAACTGGGAATGCCAGGACAACAACCAACCCAAGGTGAGGACTACAGAGCAGCGTCAATCTACCACTACAAGTCCTGTGAAGTTTCGCGGTGATGGTACATCTGAGACGCTTGACGAGAACAACACAAGCTCGCTGAGACGTTCAAACAGACAACGTCGAGAACCGCATAAGATGAAAGATTTCGTAACATTTTGAACACTTAAAAGAGAACATTCGTGAGATACGTGAATGACATCACTTCATCTAACTCTGTTTGGACATTTGAACTTTTTTTTAAAATTTGAAGAAACTGGACTCTAAACACAATCCCAAATCTTCTGACACTATGAAGACTCACAAGAACTCAAAAGGACTCTGATATTTTTGCTTTGAAATATTATTTTGTGCAGTTATATGATTGTAAAAGATCTCATAAACCAATTTTTTGATATTCTTTAATCTTTTATCTGTTTTGGTACCAGGTTGATATTGACCTCCAAAATTGAGACATTCTCCGGCACAAAGCTCAAAGAGGGGAGGATGTGTCAATATTGTTTCTGAGATTTTAGAAGAACACATGTAAAGCTTCAATCAAAAGAGGGCGCCAGATGGCCCCATCAGTATAAAAAGCGACTCTCTCGTTACTATACCAATCTGACTGTACTATCCTTTGTCGTCTGACATTAAATGCCATCGAACTAAGCTTGAAACAACAGTCAAACGTGTCTTACTGGCCACCTTTCTATAAAGGGTCACCTGTATATGGTGGCCATGCATTTGCGGTCCATTGAGAAAGAAAGGAGTGTGGTAGAACCTGTTTAGAAAGGTCACCTGTCTACAGTGGTGAAATTTTATGCTTCTATTGAGAGACATTTATAGATAGGTTTGATTGTACTTTCTCTTTTGTAAATATAAATATGCTCTCAAGTAAGAAATTCGTACATTTACATGACATAATTTAATATAGCATCTTAACAGTTTTAACACAAGGAAGATGGGCGTAAATCCTAAAAGCACACAGGCTTCATATTTCAAGCAAATTTATATATGCTAAAATCTATATTGCGAACAACATTCACTTAACAGTCGACGATGTAATTATGATTTGATTTGATGAGTCATTTATAATTATGTACCATAGAACTAAAACTAAACTAAAATTGCTCGTAAGTTCCATTCATGAAGCAATTGATTTATAAACTCTCAATTTTATTATCATCAAATTGTGTGTTTTTCTAAATCGATGGCTGCATTAGATTAAGAAATACATGTATTGCGAGAAACATGTCTTCACATGATAATTTGCACTAATCAGTTTTCTTAGCATCAGCTTTTATGTTTCTCCGAAATACATTACAAATCAGTCTTGCTGTTAATCTGAAAACAAAAAATAAAATAGCAAAGATTATCGCTAAAATTATAGCTAGAGACAATATTATGTCGATTTGATGATATTGATACCAAGTCAATTCCACAGCAACTGATTTGAGATGAGTGCCGCCATATTGGATCACGTGTTCTACCCAGAAAGCTGCTTTCTCCACTGGTCTCATGGTGCGATGCCCGTACATCGAAGAAATCCTTGCAGCATTCTCCTTGTAACTAATTTTAAAAAAATACAAAACATACAAGGAAAGATATTCTTGAATAAGGTTTTGAATTTAACATCCTATAAACTACTGCTCCTGCTACTTTTATCATTCTCTACTCTACTACTACTACATCTATTTTTTTTATAAAGAAGTTAAGGATGAATAATGCACAAATCAACTGCTTTTATTATAAAACGCCAGCAAAAGAGAGTAAAGTATAGCGATAACGTTTGTTAAGTTCCTTAAACAATGTCATTATGTTACTTTGATTGCCCTATCTATAACCTACCTGCTGTTTCTTAACACTGTTCTCATGGCATCTTCAATCTTATCAGCATTGAGGGTGTGGTAGTCGAGCTCGACTCCCATTCCGTGGTGGACGGTCCGTGAAGCGACATCGTACTGGTCCATGAGCAAAGGAATGACCACGCTTGGAACACCGTGATACACAGTTTCGTAGAAGCCGTTGTTACCTCCTTGGTATATTATGAGTTTGGTCTTGCTGTGTCCTGAAAAGGTTCAAAGTTTATTACATTCGAAATCTATGTATTTTTCAATATTATGATAGATATAGTTTATTTTTTCATAAAAATCCCCTTTTCTGCAAACTACAAACTTTGATATGTATTCCTTATTTTTCGATGATCTCACTGTGTCATATAACTATCTTTTTGTGTTTATTAAAAAGAATTTCAAGGATCTTCATGGGCGCAGACTGGGTGCAGATGTATTGGTTAATTCCCCTTATAAGCGGCTATATCCTTAACTAAAATATACATCATTTTGGTAGTCCGTTGAATTCCTCACCTAATAAATCATTCTGTGGTAGCCAGTGCATCGTTTTGATCTTGGTTTGATCAGTGCCCTCGGGAAGATCACGGGTCGATTTCCATATCACTTTCTGACGCAGTCGAGAAAAGGCCGTCACGAAGTCTTGAATGAGCTCTTCCTTCATAAACGTTGCGTACGAACCCATGCTGAAGATAATGACGCCATCTTCACCAGAGCTTTGGACGAACTCTTCAAGGTTCTTGAAAAATTAAATATGTTTAGAGAGGGTAAATTATTTGAACCTGAGTAATGTATTGCGACGTGTTTATTCATTCCGATAGGTTCAACAGTTTTTTTTTGGCTCTGAAAAATGAATGATGACACATTGAGACGCGCACTGTCAACTTATATTTTTTTTACAAGTTTTCACTAATTACAATTGTTGTAAAATAATAATCTATGATATTTGCAAGGCGTCGAATCCATTTGAAAGCAAATGTTCAAGCGCACTTGTCAAATAAAGAAAAAAATGAGATCACATAACAGTATCTGCATTATATGGAGCAGGTCCGGGGTAAGAACGTAAAACATACAAATTAAGATTATTTTTGAATACTTCAACTGATCTCGAGGGAGATAATTCCACAGCGAATGTCCTGCATGAGCAAAGGTTTTCCCTCCCCCCCCCCCCACTTATTATTGAGGTTAGGAAGAGCAGAAACAATCCGAAGTTAATATCCTATTACCTGAAAATACCACCCCCCCCCCCCAGCCTACAAACACTTCCGTCACTCAATGGTCCTCTGCTCTAGCATTGCATTCACCGAGCAAGATAAGGCCCCCCCCCCCCCCCTATGACACAAGTGACCCTCCCTGACTGGACAACCCAGCTACGCCTCTCCAATAATAATGCTGTGTTTGACAACAAATTATCAAACCATTCTTTTGGGGTGGTCTTTTGATTATAGTAGCAAAATCCGTCTTTCTACTTACTTGCTCCAGCTGTTTCGCTGGCTTTGTGGTGATCCCACCAACAGGAATGACGTTCGGTGAGATGGGTAAAGGGAACTCTACTGCGAAATCCATGTTGACGAGAAACAATTCCGCTCTGCTAAATATTTCGCTTGAAGAGACTGGGGATATATTTCGTGAAGAAAGATATTCTTGGAGGCCTTTTGATTGCATCGCAACGAAAGAAGGTATGATATTTATTTGGATGAAATTACGAAGACGCTGCCAGAATGTCATACGACGCGGAAAACCACTTCCAAAAGATGGATGAATGGCGGCGTTGATAGGGGAGCCAAATGAACTGCCTAAGTATTCTTCGAGATGTGTAGGAATCGTGAATATAACGGGTTTCTTCAATATCACAGGTAGAAGGTTTTGACAACCAAAATATGGATCAATGATCAAGAGGTCTAGATTCGCGTCCACAAGACTGTTGACAAAATCATCGTCTATGAGTAAAGCGTCACAGTCTTTGTACAACTCCTCCTGCATGGTTTCCATGTTTTTCATAAGCTCTCCCCAAAAGTTTCCCGACACAGCCGCGCGGGCGAGGAAATCGACTTTCTCTTTGACTTCTTCCTCCGAAATTCGTCGGTTGGTGATTGCAAAGTGGAAGAGATTGGAGTATCTCTTCTCAGTGCTTGTAGCGATGGCTTCACCGCTGATGATGGCTGTGACATTGTGACCCCGACGAACCAATTCCTCGCCTAATGATGCCGCCACGGCGAAATGACTGCCTTGTCCCGGTCCGCCGGAGATAGCTATATTCGACGCTTCAGCTATGGCAGTAATTAGCACTCCAAATAAAAGAGATAGGTAAACCTTCAATGCCATTTTAATTCCTACAAAAATGATTGGTTATATGCTAATACTCCGTGATGCCTCGATCAAGTAACATTCCGTTATACACCGGTAGATTGTGAACAGGGTTCAGATAAAGAAGATTATGACAAGTTGGTGAGATTCCCTGAATAATACAAACCTAATGCAACATTCAAAGTGCTTGCATGCATGTAGAGACTTCGTAGTATAGATATTGACAATCATTCGAAATGTGCCGCCGATAAATATTAAAGCACAGGTAAAAAGGCTGGTGGATATGAAATAATGTATACCGTATACATGGCCTTTAAAACAATTAAAATTGAATGCCTAATAAATCCGAACAGATACCTTGCCGTGGACTTGATTCCACACCGATCGACGTGACCTCACTTGCCCATAACACACAGTCTATTCAAAATAAAATACAATACCCCTCGGAAATTCTATAGTTCAGACATAATACATATTTCAACGAGCGTGTTTGGGGCATTATGTTTGCTATCAAAATTGCAATACAAGGTTCAAAGTGCATGCGGAAGCGATTTCGTACTAGTAAACTTGGCATTGGCCGACTTTAAAGCATTCATAAACATAGGTACCTGTAGCTAGGATAATTTTGAATGGGCTATGAATACGGTCATACTTACTCGGCTATTATTCGGTGGAGGGTCTTGAACTAGCCGAGGATTTTTTTTTTTTTTTTTTTTTTTGTGGGGGGGGGGTGGTGTAGCCTAAACAGTTGTTAAAAAATGATAAGGCTGCATGTCCTTGTAAACATCAGGATGTACATCATGTAACTAACATTTTATTTATCCAGGTAGACCGATCGAGTTTTTCTCACGGGATAGATGGAGAGAGCGAGAGAGAGAGAGTGAGAGAGAGGAGGGGGGGGATACACACAGAATATCGAAACTCAAAAGTCTGAAATAAATTGGACTAAACATAAGGAAGTTGGGCATGTTTGAAACATGAGATCACTATAAGCCTATGCAAATCACAAATTGGCAGTTTGGTTAGTGGATTGTGACGTAGTCGAGATTAAGATCTCCCCCAATTGTGCCGTGTACAAAAATATCGATAATTTCTGTTATCTTTTAAGTCCCTTTTCCTTGGGACAATAATCAAGATATTATGGATAACATATAATTAAAAGTCCCCTAAAGAGAAAAAACCCTATATTGAGTCTTACATTTTTGAGAAATTGAAATCATGTGTGTTGGACTGCAAAATTAATTGGTAAGTTGTCCGGCCACCAGGGGCGGCGATTTCTTTTCATGACCGGGGGGGGGGGGGACGAAATCCCTGGGGGGAGGGGGGTACTCAGATTTGGTTTGGACGGGGGTGTTCCGCTGAAGCCTCGAAACCCCTACCAATCTATAAGGGTCATTTGGAGGATTTTTCTCGAAGTTTTTGCCAAATACCCGAAAATTTTGGAAAAAGGGACAAATGTTTAGGAATTTTTGTGTGAAAAAGTTAGTGACCCATTAGAGCGGCACACCCCTGTATATCTTAAAATGCGAGTATCCTCCACCCTCCTCCCCCGGATGTAATGCGAGGGAAAATCTGTATTCCGTTGGTTTCACGGTGATACCAACAAAATACAGATTTTTCATATCTTTCAAATGCCGTTGGAATTTAACCTTTTCATTTTTGTTGGCCTGCAAATGGGACATAATACCTTTAAGTCGGTATTTGCAAAACTGTTGTTGTTCTTTTTCAATTTTTTCGGGGGGACGACCCCCCCCCCCTTTAATAAAATTGAGGGGGACGTCCGTCCCCCCCCCCCTCCCCCCCCCCCCCCCCCCCGTCCGTTCCCGGGATCGCCGCCCCTGGCCGCCACTACATCACAGAGACATTCCCGATTCATCTAATTTTAGTAGTGCATACCTATACTAGTGATCTCGCCGGACTTTTAACACACCAAAAACAGCAAATAACAAAAAATAACATGTTTCTTGTTCCGCGCCGCCTCCTTTAAAAAAAAACTTTTGCTACTCAGAGAAAGAGCAACAAAAAGCAACAAAAAACAAAACAAAACAAATAGGCTGTGATATATATTTATTATTTTGTATAGATAGCTTTAATATCTAATTCAAGCTGAACACATGGTGTTTTCACTGTTTCTGAATTTGAAACTAAATTGCTTAGGCCTAGACTCAAGAGAGTGGACTAAAATGATACAAATCATTTGTTTTGTTATGCATTGCACCAGTATACTCAATTAGCACCAAAAAAAACAAAAAAATAGTAACTAATTCCTAAGGTCCGGGCGAGAAACTCGTTATTTTTGTGATTTGGCCTAAAACATCTATGTTTCAATGGCGCATTCCGTTGCATCAGTCTAATGATCGAAACCCTTGCTAAGTTTACATCCAATATTAGCTAGGGGGAGGTGGGGTGGGTCTAAGATCTTGCCCCTCGATCGATCCTCCTTCGTTGCTATTTTGTTCGTTATAATTCCATAATTTCCATAAAGGGGAAATGCATTGTGAAACAGAGACATTTCGACTGGATGTTTACAGGCTCCTCGACCCCGGCCACAGCCCCTCCCACCCCCCCCCCACCCCTTCCCACCCCCCTTACCCCTTCCCACCCCCCCCCCCCCCCCCCCGCACCCCTTCCCCAATTAACGTTCGCTGCGCTGCGCATGCATGGCATCTCATCTTGATTGCATGCAGGCGCGGTGCATTCTGGGTACATTTCGCCGGATCGCCATTTTCATTAACCTAGGCCGAAATTTGCCAGCAAAATGTCGCTTGTGAGAAACTTCACCAGACTTACAGCAGGTTTGCGATCACAGAGACACGTTGTAAGGATATGTCAACCATGTAGAAACTATGCCGAGGATGCAAAGGCTTCGGCACCGACGCAAATGTCATTCTCCTTTGGCTATCCAGGAAAGGTAAAAAATCACATTTTTCAGTTCAGTCCCATCTGTTAGAATTTGCGTAGTTTCATTTGGTGCTCGAGTTTAACACACACACATGCACATGATCGGTATTAATTATGGCGCTAATTCACAGTAGAGGCGCTGGTCCGAGAATAAAGAATTGTCCTCATAAATGCGGACAAAATGCGTCTTAAAAATTAAGGATTGTCCGCGGGATTCGGGTTACCGAACCGCCCGCTGATCAAAAATATGATTATTTATGAAACGTCTGCGAAAATGCAGACGATCCTTATTTTTGAGGACGCATCGGTCTGCATTTACGAAGACGATCCTCATTTATGCCTACTTTGACTCGTAACTGCGGCGTGGAATATCCTACTATTAAACGTAAATCTTCATCAATTGTTCAAATAATGGCCATGATTTTAAAGTTTTGATGTTTCTCACCCGTTTTGTGTCAATTTTCTTACCTTTTTTGGTGTATTTTTCTAATTAACGAAGACTTACGTTACTCACTTTCTCATGGGATTCACGGCAAACTGCTTCACAAAACAATTGCATACTGGCGTAGTGACGGTGGGGTGCGCGAGGGTGTGAGTGAAGTTAGCGACTGTAATTATTAATTGCTTAGATTATTTTATTAAATTATTTGTTGTTTCCTCTTTCATAGATGTTCTACTCAAACGCAAGTGTGAAGCAAGTGGACGTTCCATCTGGCACTGGTAGCTTTGGTATACTGGCTCAACATGTACCGTCTTTAGCTGTTATGAAGCCAGGCATGATCTTTGTAACAGAGGATGATGGTTCTATCAACAAATACTTTGGTGAGGAAATAAACACAATAGATCCTATTTGTGTGGATGAAATCAATAAAATCTGAATTTGAATGGTAACAAAATACACTTGTAAGCCAAGTGAAACTTTGGGGGGAGGAGGGGGGTGATGGATCAGGCGTAAGATGGAAAGAAAAGTAGAGAAAAAAAAATCAAGTTCTGCCTTGGCCACTGGTTGTAGGGTTAAAAGTGTTAATGAACCTGTTTAGTTTGCCTTCAAACTGCCCCCCCCCTAATTTTTTTTTGGAAATCATGAATTTAAAAAGAAGAAAAAACCTATCTATGCTGCATAGACAGGAGAGGGTGCTGAAACTATCCACTTGTGAGATGTCCTGACCTGACATCTTGTGGCAACCAAAATGCCAGCTGGGGGCAAACAAATAACTTTTAGTGTCATTTTTCCAATTACACAAGTGGATTATGAATTTAACAGCACTGCAGATTTTTTTTAATAGAAAGTAATGTTGATAATGCTTTGTTGATGAACCCGCATTATTCAAATCAATGCATGGTTTACTACTTTTCTACATTTCTTGTAATAAAGTCGGGTAAGACACTATTATGGTGAACATTGTACATGCTTTTCTATGACACCACAGAAGCTCTTTCCTATTTTTTAAAAACCGAAATTGATAATTATGATATCCTAAAATATGCTCATTTTTACAGTTAAGAATTGTTCTTTTCTACTTGGTATTCTTTTACTTGTATTCCTTCATTAACAATAATTGGATGCAGTTATGCAATTCTGCATTCATCCATATTTTTTTCTTTTTTAAAGTTTGAAATAGATATTGAAACAAAATTTCCTTCAAAAAAGCATCATCTGTATCTAATGAAGGACTGGTGTCTGATGAAAAAGGGGGTTGATTGAATATCTAATCTGTTTTGTTTGTTTGTCTTTATAGTGAGCAGTGGTATGATCACAGTCAATGATGACTCATCTGTCCAGATTCTTGCAGAGATGGCAGCTCCAGTAGAGGACCTAGATCCACAGGTAATGTCATACTTTCCATCTTTCAAACATTTTAACCAGGACTCTATGGCCCGAATTCATGGTTTAAGCCCTCATTTACATTACCCATGGTTTAAAAATTAGTGCAAAATAAGCGTACCTTGCCTTGCGCGCGTCTAATATTGGACCTCTGACTTGTGTTGCGCTTATTTTGTGCATATTTTAAACCATGGGCTATGTAAATGAGGGTTTAAAACATGGGTTAGATCTAAACCTCCTTTGTGAATTCAGGCCATTGAATTCAATTGAAATAGTAGTGCACAATGATACATGGTTGGAAGGTTTTGTCACTCTTAACACCTTTTAAATACTTTTTCAAGTCTCTTCTTTATGAAATGAATTAAAACAGAAGAGAACAGTGTTTGTCAAAGTATCAGGGTCCATAATTTAGATTCCTTATATCCAAGGGAGAAGAAGAAACACCAGGGCTACAAGGTTTGTTAAAATCGTCTGGTTTTTCTGATAAATACTACATTCATAGCAGGGATTTTTTTTCTCACTTAACAGCAAATAAATTCCTTTTGGTATGTCTGATTCACTTAGAATCTCACAAATCTCATAAAGTTTTCGATCATAACAATCACAGAGAAGGTTTTAGTTATCTTGATATTGCTAATAAATTAACAAACAACTTGACATTCAAAAAAGTAGAAAACAGTGTATTTTATAGACTGAACGGCCATACAAATAACTTGGACGTATGTTTTCCTTGTAAAAGGCTTGTACACATTGTAAAGCTCTTATTGAAGAAAAGTGGTTATCATGACCCTGTAACACACAAATAAGTTAGCGATCTATTGCTATTTTGAACTTGATTGCCATGTTTTTCTGTATGATCAATCGACCGTATGTACAACTGCTACTAAAGATTTGTGTTATTGACCCTGTTCTTACAGGATCTGCAGTTTAGATACACCAAGGAAACTTACTCATGCTCATCACAATGTTTTCCCTCCCACTGCAGGCAATCAAGGAGGGTATGACCAAAGCACAGCAGGAGCTAGCTGCAGCAGCAACAGACCTGGCACGTGCTGAGGCACAGATCGCTGTTGAAGTTCACGAAGCAATGGATACAGCCGTAAACAAGTAGAATCTTTTGCATCACCTGCCGATTGTTTGTAAAAGTAGGTTTATTTCTGTTTTGCCACCACTCTAATATCTCAAGGAGCAGTCCATCCTGATATCTAGTTGATCTTAATTAAGGCTTGAAATTGAGAGAAACTGGACCCTGTCTTATAAAGAATTACGATTGATACAAATCAATCTTAAGTCCTCCAATCAATCGCAAGTTTGCAGTCTCCTATGTACATAGTGGCAATCGATATCAATCGCCAATACGTCGCGATTGATATCAACTCTTTATAAGAAGAGGCCAAGAACAATTACAAAGATAGGAAAGTTATAAAGGATAGTAAGTAAAGAAAGTTACTGAATGTCAATCCGTTTCAAATTGTTTTCACTGTTTCTATATCTGTATTGCTAGTGGTAAAACTGTTGACTGAGTATGTTTCATACCTCTAAAAGTTAAATAGTACCTTCCTTACACTTATCCTACATAATGAATGAAGCTTTTATAATGATCTTCATCTCCTGTTTTCTTTTTGTATTTACACAGAATTTATGGAGCAGAAATGAATAGCATAGCAGAACTCCCACTGGACCATACCCAACATTTGGATTCAACCAGCCATGGAACCTTTTAATGATCTGATTACTCCTCTGAAAGAACATTCATATGATGAATTCAGGAGAATTTATTTTAAAAAACACACCCCAAAAAAAAACACCTTAATCTGGTGAAAAGGATTTTTTTGGTGTGTGTATCAGTTGCTGTGACTCGTATTGTCTGTACGGAGCCAGAAGGGTGTTCACTCTGTGTTAATGTATGTGAGTTATTGCCCTAATGGCTTTAAACAGATGACATAGCATGCAGAGCACATACAGATTGGTTAAAAACTCAACAGAGTCTGTTTGATGTAGAACATCATGGTGTCTACTGCATCAGTATGACCCCTTAAAAAGCACTCTCTCTCTGCTACCATTCTAAGAACATGTTGTTCCAAAGGAATATGTGATTCACCTCTGTAACAACTACATTGTTATTTGTTATGTATATGAAATAAATGAAAATGATATATTAATGGAATATTGCATTCATTTTGTAGAGTGATGTGTTGAATCAATAGTTATCTGGTGTGCAGTAGGTGGGCAAAATATTTGAAGGGCAATTAAACAAACAGATCGGTGAAAGTCTCATCGAAATCCGATGAAAATAAGGACATTATGATTTTTTTGTTTTTGCACAATGTTTGAACTTGTACGTCTGGATCTCAAAGGCTGTTTGCAAATTAGTGAGTGGATGATGTCGTCCCATCACTATTCTCCTTATAATTTGTTCAAGAAATGTGAAGGTTTTTTTGGGGATGCACCTGTTGAGATTTTTCCTCTATAATACAACAAGTTACAGTAATGTTGATTTTGCACATATTCTATGAGGACTCGAGACATTTTTTTAGTATTTATGTACAAAAGTAAGGGGATTACATCATCAACTCGCTCATTTGCATACATCCTATGTGATGCATACTGCTCCATGAAATAATGCAACACTTTAAAATTCCACAACTTTCTTGAATTTAATCCCACTTGATGAAACTGTCACTGTTTGTTTGTTTTCATTACTTTCTATTAATTTATTAAATTCAACTTGAAGATAGGCCAGGTTTTCCCTTTATAAAGTTAATCTAGAGTTCTTGTAATGACTGAAAAAGAAAATGATGTAGATATTAAACTACATGTATTACCTCAGTCACACCATCAAACCGATTCTATACCAACTCCAAGTCGACTGACTCTTGGGTGTTTGGGGGAATGCAATTATTTGTGTTCTATTGTCTGATGTCAGTCTTGGAGTAACTGAGGTACTACACATACTTCATGTCCAATATTACAAATGGATGACATATCTGCCTGAGAGAGAAAGAGAGAGAGAGAGCGCGATGAGAAATGAACCTGGAAGAAAGATGAACAAAAGATGAGTGAAATGTAAAGAAATTTCTTTATAATTATATTGAGAAAAAGACCCAATGTCCAACTGAAAAATGAGTGTAAAAGTCTCGCCTTGCATTATTTTTTTCTGCGGCATAGATTGGGGTTAGGTGCGTGTTGAGCCTATGGGAAAGTTTAGGGTTAGGGTTAAATCAAGACCTCTTTTTTTTTTTAAAGCCCCAATCAGTGCCGCAGAAAAAAAATGACGCTTGCATGCAGTAGGGAGTGCTGGGGTGGGGACTCGGGTGGGGAATGGAGGAACTATGACGGTGTGGAGAAAAAGAATCGGAATTATGACATTGACAAAAGATCATGAATGAGAAACAGTGTTGAGCCTTCGTCTCCCCTCCCCTCCCCACCCACCTAAGCATGGAAAATTTGAAGGGAAAAATGGGTCTTTGCAAGTTGATATAATTCATGAACCTGCACCGTCGCGGGTTCGTATTCTCGGTCAAACAGCCCGCGCGACCAGCGGTGCATGCATGCTAGGTTTATCATCGGGGGCGCGACGCGCGTGACACACACGTGCCCGGTGTGACCGCACCGTTTGTCCTACCAGTTTCGTTTGTCCGCCGGACATAACATGCGGGTTTTCTGCTCGCATCGATCGTCCGTGACTCGCACGGATCGTCCGAGGGACGATCCGTGCGGTTTGCTATCCGCACAGTCTGTCCTCATTTTGTTTTACATGTATATTTGATAAAAGGAAGCAACTCGGTAAATCATGTGACATTTTTTCTAGATATTACATAATAATAACTCTCTACAATTTTTTTAAAGCAAATGGGCCAGTCCTTTTGAAAGTAGAAGTGAATATTTTATTTAAAACCTTTATTCTATGAATATCAGCCCCAAAACTATTGTAATCGATTATACTTTTGTACGTGGCTTCGTTCTTCAACCAACTCACTACTAGTATATACTCGTGATCCAGGAAAATAAAAGTGATTGAAAATGTGGTTGAAAGTGAGTGGGGGAGGCTAGAGTATTTAAGATAAGGTAGAGCGTAGCACAAATTGGCGGATGCTCAGGGTGTAGGGGCATTTAATTACGGTCAGATGAGCATATTTTCATACCTTATTCATGACACTAGCAGGTCAATAATTGGCGTATGGTCCAAGGGGTGGAGCCCCCTGAAGCGCAGGGGTTTTAGGCATTAAAATTACGGTCAGATGAGCATCCAGGGGCCAGCCTTAGGGCACAAGGTGGGATCAAGGGGGCAGAGCCCCCGGAAGCTCAGGGGTATGGGCATTTAATTACGGTCACATGAGCATACTTTCTTTTCTATTTCTTTCTATTTAATTATCTTTAATATACTTTTTCAAAAGTGTGGGGGGGGGGGGCTTGAGCCCCCAAGCCAGCCGTTCCACAGGTCCTGACAAGTATTGTTTTCCTGATCCGTATATAGGACAAGGCCCTGGGGCAGCTTGCCATGCATAATCCGATATTTGGGTCGTTTTCCGGTCAGAACTAGCCCTTACTATCATTCCAGGATTTTGTTTCAGAACCTGAGACAAAGTTACCCAATCCCTTTAAGTTTCAAAAAGTAGACTTCATTGACAAGTACAAAGGCTTAGGGACCGGGGGGGGCTTGGGGGCTCAGATATCATTGAGCCCCGCAAAATATTTTGCGGGGCTTATAGATATCATTAAGCCCCCAAATTGTCGGTGGGGCTTAGATATCATTGAGTCCTTAGGGGCTAAGATACCATTGAGCCCCCAATATTTAAGCGGTGCTCAGATATCATTGAGCCGCCCCCGATACTTATTGCGGGGCTCGGATATCATTAAACCCCCCCCCCCCTCCTCCCCAATCATTATATTCTAGGCATGAAACTCATGTATACCTATAATCTACAGGCTTACCATTCAAATATAAACATTTTATAAATATTTATTTGGGGAGGAGGGGGGGGGGGGCTCAGACATCGGATCTCGCATACCATTGACCCCCAAAAATATATTTGGTGGATCTCAGATAATTATCATTGAAACCCCCAAATATTTTGGCGGGACTCTGATATCATTGAGCGCCCCCCCCCCCATATTTTGGTGGGGCTCAGATATCTTTGAGCCCCCCCCCCCCCTCCCATATGTTTGTGGGGCTCAGATATCACCCAATTGTTTTTTGTGGGGCTCGGATAACATCACGGAGCCCCCCGATATTTGTGTGGGGTTCGGATAACATCACGGAGCCCCCCGATATTTTGTGAGAGGCTCGGATATCATTGAGCCCCCCCCCCCCCCCCATATTTTGGCCGGGCTCGGTTATCATTATCATTATAGATTGGTGCACATCATTATGCTCGATCATCCTCTCCTATCTGTTTGATTTCATTCCTCTTTTAGTCATCCTTTATTTGCTACCTATGATATTTGATAAATACCTATATATTATGCAAAATAAACCCTGGAGGTTTAAAGTTGTAAAGTCCAGGGCAGTTCAACACACGCAATCATGAAATAAGGATGTCTTCATCGAAGTGTCTCTGTATGTTTAGAACCAAGCCCTGTGCCTACCCGCTCAGGCCACTCTACATTCAGGGGCGTCGCTAAAGGGGGGGGGGGGGTGGGGTTGAAGTCGGTGGGATTTTTGTTATGTCGGTCGGCCAGCAAGTTTTTCCCCTTCGAGCTGTGACTTTTTATCGGACAAAGAAACATTTTTGAAAATTCAGACAATGATTTAGAGTCAGTACAATGAATAGTCTTCTTTTTCTAATAATTTAATGAAACGTTGAAGCTCCCGCACTTCGCGCGAGAGGGGGAGAAACTGAATTCAGACAATTAGGGTTAAGAGTAGAGAACGGTACACAACAAATCGTCTTCTTTCTATAATAACTTAATGAAACGTCTAAGCTTCCGCGCTGCGCGTGGGATGGGGAAACTGAATTCAGACAAGGATTAAGAGTCGAGAACGGTACAACAAATCGTCTTCTTTTCATAATAATTTAATGAAACGTCTAAGTTACCGCGCTTCGCGCGGGAGGCCTTTCACCCATCCCCTCCCCCACGCGCGCTATTTAAGTGATTCGCTTGCTCAATACCGCCCCTCCCTAAAATAAGATCCTAGCTACGCACCTGCGTTTAAATATATAGCTATGATGCTAACTAAGTTGACGAAATAATTTGTATATTTATGTCGTCGACGAAAATGACCATTTGCGCATAACAATTTAGCCTTCGCATGATCATTTTTGTGATAGTTTCCTTCTGCATTTAATTTTGTTGCTGTTATGAGTTTATATTCATATTTTTGTTATCAAACAGGAATAAATAAATGAATATATAAATACATTTGTACAATACGATTTGTACGATAGTTGTACAATGATGATAGAAGAACCAATGAAAATCGCAACTGATCTTCCCTAATTCTTTTCCCCCTTTTCTTTTCTTCCTCTTTGTTTTCTGTCCCTTTCTCTCCTCTTTCCCTTTCTTTCTCTCTCTCTCTTTGCTGAGGGGGGGGGGGGGGGGGGGGGGGGGGTACACATCGGGAAAAATTGCAACTGATCTCCCCTACCTTTCTTCTTCCTCTTTTTCCCCTTTCCCTTCCCTTACTTCTCTCTCTCTCTCTCTCTCTCTCTCATTTAACTTTAATGGGGGAGGCAGGGGCCTTTCGCCCCTCCCCCGATCCATATGATGTTGGTGGGATTAATTGCAACTGATCTCTGCTTCTTTTTACCCTTTTCTTTACTTCTTCCTCTTTTGTGTTCCATTTTAGCTCTCCTCTTTCCCTTTCCCTTCTTTCTCTCTCTTTTTTTTTTGGCGGGGAGGGGGGGGGGGGTCGGGGGGGGGGGGGGGCAGAGGCAAGGGCCTTTCTCCGCGATCCACATCTTGTGTGCATGAAAATTGCAACTGATATCCCTTCTTTTCTTTTCTTCTTTTGGTTCTTTCCCTTTCCTTCCTTCTCTCTTGTTTTGCGGGGGGAGGCAACAGCATGGGCGGCAAGGCCCTTTCGACCCCCCACCGATCTCCTTCTTTTCCCCCTTTTTCCTTTCTTCTTCCTTTCCTCTTCTCTCTTCTTTCCCTTTCCCTTCTTTTCTCTCCTTCTCTCTCTCTTTCTCTCTCTTTTTGTTTGCTGAGGGGCCAGGGG